ACTTGTAGAGTTAGTTTTCAAAACTAAAACAAGGAAACTTGTGAATCTCATCATAAAATGTTATATTTTATATTTTACAAAGGATTCACGCCAATCATAAAACGGGATTCTCCATATTATTACTTGTAAATTCGTTATTCTTAAAATTGGAGACACATCCTTGGTAACACTCCACCGGAATACGCGAGTGAAGGACCAACCCTTTAACCATAGTTTCGAAAATACGACTAATATACTCCTTTGGGTGTAACCAAAGCTTCGAAAACACGGCTAATATACTCCTCTGGGTGTAACCAGAGCTTCGAAAATACGGCTAATATACTCCTCTGGGTGTAACCAGAGCTTCAAAAATACGGCTAATATACTCCTCTGGGTGTAACCAGAGCTTCAAAAATACGGCTAATATACTCCTCTGGGTGTAACCAGAGCTTTGAAAACAGAGCTAATATACTCCTCTGGGTGTAACCAGAGCTTCGAAAATACGGCTAATATACTCCTTTGGGTGTAACCAGAGCTTCGAAAATACGGCTAATATACTCATCTGGGTGTAACCAGAGCTTCAAAAACACGACTAATATACTCCTCTGGGTGTAACCAAAGCTTCGAAAATACAGCTAATATACTCCTCTGGGTGTAACCAGAGCTTCGAAAAGAAAATTGTTGTCTGAGTATGGTAGATACTTGTGTATGGATAATCAATCATCAACTTTTAAAAGGAAAATATGGGTTTTTCCTAGGATAACTTAACTTTTTCATAAACAGACTATATAACAAATGGATAATCAAACTTCTTTATAAGAAAATATGAGATTTTCTTGGGAAACAACTTTTCATAAAATCAAAGGAACATTTTCTTTCACCAGGATCAACGGCTTATGAACTCACTAGCTTTATGCTGATATTTCTAAAACTGCTTGTATTCTCAGGTTCGCGTTAGACAGGTACCTCACCCACTTTTGGAGAAGGCGGAGCATATAGAAGTCTCATCTGTACTTTTGTTTATACTGATGTATATAATCTATGTTTTCAATGCTTTCAAAACAAATGTAAATATTCTTATTGTAATGTAATGGTTGTGTTTACTATGCTTACTATGTACAATGGTTGTGATACTACGCATGACGTCCTCTGCCCTGAAACGTTTCCGCCATTGGTTTAGGGGTGTGACATCATGCAACCCTTCTCACGTCGTGAGCTTATATTTCTCACGTCCTGAGGATCCTTTTTCTCCAAAATCCAACATTTTAACTCCTTGAAACCGTAAATAAATTGTCCTGGAAAAACGGGTGTTACACACGACTTTTTTGTTTCACCTCTCGCGCTTTCCTTTTCTCCTCCAACTTTTATTTCTCAAAATTCAAACGAGTTTTGAAATTCAAATTATAAATTTCGAAACTAGAAGCGACCTTTTGAATGTCATCTCCTTTTTCGACACCCGATGTGTTCGATGAATACCCTTTCTTTTTCTCCCTATCTCCCCCCGTCAGTCGAACTACCTTTTTGAATTCAAGTTCATCCACTTCGTTCAAATCAACCTCAAAATGTGCATCCGATGAAGTAGTGAAATTTTGTTATTTTATCACCACATTCTTCTTCCCTGTACTCTTTTACTAATTTTGGGGACACAGATAAAAATCTTCAAACATCAATAAATTTGAAAATATTATTTTGTATAAAAAAATATTTTAAGCGTCGTCTCGAAAATTTGTTGATTGTTTTTCCCGCTTTTCTGTTAAGTAAGCAAGTTGTTGTAAATATCATTGATTTTGGTAACCGATTTGTTCATCTCTCAAAACTTGTTGTTGCATTGGTGTTTTGTACAATAAGGTTCACAACCCATGACATTAAGAAATCGTTCCATAATGTGTCACCAGAAGTGCTCATCATTTTACACATTTCAGTTTGTGAATTCTCAAAAATGTCGACCCATGATCCGGGTAACCTCATCTCTTCATCCAATTGCCATTGTTGAGCCGCCACCTTCTCTTTTCCAAATACCAGCACTTTTCCTTTCCCACATCATTTGGGGTTGGATGGTTCAACTTGTGTTTTGCGAACAACATCATGTTGGGTTTCAGTAACCGGTTCGAGTTCGATTACCGGTTTGGGATCATGTTGTGTTCCCCGGACAAAATCAACATTCGAGACGTATTCGGGAAACAAGAAATTTTTTGAAAGGTGATTGGGCTAAGAGGTTGCATCGAGTAATAGTGTTGGTAGTAAACTTGTTGGGGATGGAGTTGAGGTTGGGACGAAATCATGGAAGAATCAAGATGAGGTTGGTAAGCCGACAGATCCAACAGTCAAACATTTGCACGCGATTTGCTTCGAGCGGTAAATTGAGGATTGCTTGGATAACCCATATAGCCAAGAAATGGGCACTCTTGGTCAATCGATCTATGATGACCCATATAGCATCAAATCCCTTCTCTGTCCTCAGCAACTTGGTAATTAAGTCCATCGTGATTTGTTTCCATTTCCACATGGGAATCTCTAGAGGCTGCAACATACCATGCAACCTCTGATGCTCGGCCTTGACCACCCTGCATGTCAAACACCTCTTGACATACCAAGTGATTTCTCGCTTCATATATGGCCACCAATAACTCAAACTCAGGTCTCGGTACATCTTGGTGGCCCCCAAGTGAATAGAGAAATGAGACTTATGAGCCTCCTCCATGACTATCTGTCTGACCCTACTAGACATCAGAATTCATACCCGACCGCATCGGGTTAATAATGCCCGACTATCCTGCACAAACCAGGTGTTCTCACCCTTGATCCTCTTCAACTTCCAGTTCTCAAGTCGCATGCCCTCAACCTGAGCATCCCTGATCAAGCTCATAAGCGAAGAATCCACCGCTATCCTCATACACATTGCTGGGGTGGAAGACCCAACTGTCTTGCGACTCAAAGCGTTCACCACCACGTTCGCTTCACCGGGGTGGTAAAGGATCTCGCAGTCATAGTCCTTGACTACATCCAGCCACCTGCGTTGCCTCATGTTCAGGTTCGGTTGATCCATGATGTGTCTCAAACTCTTGTGATCAATGTATATGGTTTAACGGACCCCATATAAGTAATGTCTCCATATCTTTAGAGTAAACACCACCGCTCCCAGCTCCAAATCATAAGTAGGATATCTCGTCTCATGCAGCTTCAGCTTCCGCGACGCGTAGGCTATCACCCGTCCTCTCTGCATGAGGATCGCCTCGGAAACTTGTGATGGATGAATCACAGAACACCACAAAATCCTCCACTCCCTCCGGGAGTGTCAAAACCGGAGCCTCACACAAACACTAAAGGAGAGTCTCAAACACCCTTTGTTGCTCCGATCCCCACCAGAAATCCACTCCCTTCCTGGTCAGACAAGTGAGGGGTACTGCAATCTTATAGAAATCCCGAATAAACCTCCGGTAGTACCCTGCTAAACCCAGAAAGCTCCTGATGTCCGAAGGAGACCTCGACACCTCCCACTGCATGACTGCCTCAATTTTGGTATGGTCAACCAAAATCCCCTCCTGGTTAACGAGATGTCCGAGGCACTGGACCTCTCGCAACCAAAACTCACACTTCGAGAACTTGGCATACAGTCGTTCTCGTCTCAGAACTCCCAACAACTCCATGAGGTGCTCCTCGTGCTGCTCTCGGGTCTTGGAATACACTAAGATATCATCTATGAACACAATGACCGAACGATCAAGCATTAGTCTGCAGACCCGATTCATCAGGTCCATGAATATTGTTGGCGCGTTGGTGAGCCCAAATGACATCTCCAAAAACTCGTAATGACCATAACGAGTTCGAGATGTGATCTTCTCCACGTATGAGAATCGGGGCGTTACAGAGAGTGTTATGTGCGATATATGTATGAGGTTCTATTTATAGTTAAATTATTAAGAAAAAAAATTCAAAATGTAACCTTTTACCAACGGTCCAAAATGTGCGCGGTGAAAGCTTCTGGTAAAGTGGGCATAACGCAAAAACCAAATGGAGATCGGTTATTTGTGCACGGGACCAGGGTCGGTCCTGAAAAATGAAATATTCTTAAAGACCCAGGACGAACAAGAAAAAAAGGGCCCTTATCTTTATTATAATTTTGTATTTCTAAATAAAAATATATAATGAAAAAAATTAGGCCCTGTGCAACTGCCCACTTTACCCCCTCTAAGCCCCATGCACGGGACATGCGATGCCACCTCAACGAAGTGCACCGAGGAGTAGAGGTGGCAATCGTGCCGTGTCGTGTCGGGTTCGTGTCGTGTCGAAACACTAAACGGGTTGAAAGTGTTTGACCCTAACCCGACCCATTTAATTAACGTGTCGTGTCGTGTCGACCCGTTTATTTTCGTGTCGAGTTCGTGTCGGGTTTCGGGTTAGGGCTATACCTTGAAATATGTCGTGTCATGTGAGGTTAAAAGATTGAGCATGTTGAAAGAGTAGGAGTTAGGTAGGCGGAGAGGAAAAACTAATAGTTTGGAGGCAGAATAGATGAAGTCATAGCAAGTTCAGATGACAAAATTAAAAGAGTAGGAGTTGGAGAGGCGGATGAAAAGGTCACGAGGATGTGAGAGTGGTGAAAGAGACTCGGTAGTTTAGGAGAGAATGGAAAAACTGAAATTAAGTCTTGATCTAGACGGCTAAGTTAATTCGACATTACAAAACGACTCAATTCGAAGGTTTTCTTTTACTTATGGTTTTGGTTTTGTATCTTTCTAGTTTATTTAAATAATTCAAAAAATTTGCATATAAATAAACGGGTCATTTTCGAGTCATATTCGAGTTGAAATTCTCAACCCTAACCTTACCCGTTTAATTTTCGTGTCGTGTCGTGTCAACCCGTTTATTTAAACGGATTGAAATATCTTACCTAAACCCGTTTATTTCGTGTCGGGTTCGTGTCGGGTTTCGTGTCGTGTCAATTTTTGCCACCTCTACCGAGGAGCCTAACATAATACTATAACTTATATGTCCTGGCCCATTGGGTAATGAAAAAAACACCGTGACACTTTTATTTCATAACTTGAAACTTGATTTTCTTTTCGGCTCATGTTGGGACATCTAGAACCCATTTTTGCCCCATTTTCAAAGAATCAACTTAATCGTTGACACCGCTAACTACTGATTTAGCTCGCATTTAGTCGATTTGGTTCTTCAAAAAATCCCTTCGTTCTCCATCAAGAATCTTGTGCCTTAATCGAGGGAAAATTCAAGAAAATGTCACTAGGGTATGCAGAGAAGCTCTCCTATAAAGAAGACGTTGGGGATGTCGGAATGTCCGAGATGTTCGACTCCCCAGATGATTTACAACAAAAAGTTTGTTTCTTTTCCCTTTTAATTCCCTATTCATAGCTATCTCTTTCAAAATTTGCTCTAATGCTAGTCCATTCCAAACCCTAATTTCGAATGCAGCTCTTCACTTTCATGATCACCGTGTTCTTTCGTAATCTTTTCTTAATTCTTTCTAGTGATCATGTTCTCGATGGATTCTGTGTTTTGGTTGAAATGGGTTTGATTAAGTTAAACCTAAACTTGTTGCGCCTCTCGCGATCAAACAGTCTCATTCAAATAAGCGTTTTTAGATTACAACCGAAAGGAATTTACATTTCTACAGATACAAGTCCCTCTACTTCTACTGATATCACAAATTTCTCTTCATTTGCAGATCCAACAACTCGCAAAGATGATTAAAAAGGTTACACTTTTCAATTCTTCATATCTACTTCAAAATCGCATAAAAAAATATCAATACAAGTGTTTGATTATATTCTTACAAAATTCCTCTGCAGAGTAAGCATCTAGTGGCATTCACAGGTGCAGGAATATCAACCTCTTGCGGAATACCTGATTTTCGAGGCCCAAAAGGCGTTTGGACTCTTCAGGTGTAACTTTCAATTCCCCAAAATACAAAAACCAAAAAAAAAAAAAACAGTAAATTAACATCGATTCCATTTATAATTTCGTTAAATTACAGCGTGAGGGCAAAGGTATTCCAGAAGCATCTTTACCATTTCATCGCGCATCACCAAGTCTTACTCATATGGCTTTGGTTGGACTTGAAAAAGCTGGTATTTTGAAGTTCGTTATCAGCCAGGTTATATTTTATTATTATTTTTTTTAAAATCATGTAAAAAAAAATCTTGAATTTGAATTTTATTTTTTTATATTGTATAGAATGTTGATAGCCTTCATCTTCGTTCTGGAATACCAAGACAAAAACTTTCAGAATTGCATGGAAATTCATTTAGGGAAGTTTGCCCTAAATGTGGGAAAGAGTAAGGGGTTCTTTTCCTTTTTTTTATTTCTCCATTAACTTCTGTAAAGAATAAGACTAAATGACCATTTTATCCTTACATTTCAAAAACAAATTTCACACTATCAATTTCAACATGGGTAGAGAGGTGCAAATACAAGAAAAAAAGCAAATGAGGGCACATTTGTAAAATGTCAAACTTAGTGGGAAAAGTCTCGTTTCCTTGACCTTTTTTTTTCTTCATTAAGTTGTTCTTTCTGCATTAAGTCAAAAAGTCAATTGTTTTGTAGGTATTTGAGAGATTTTGAATTGGAAACTGTTGGTTTAAAGGAGACATCAAGGCGTTGTATTGATGCAAAATGTGGAGCTAAATTAAGAGATAGTGTTCTTGATTGGGAGGTATTTATTAATTATTAATTATTAATTATTAATTAATAATTAATTATATAGAAATTTGCTACCTTTTTTTAATTATTATTTAATATTTATAGTTTTTGGGCAACTTTTATTTCATTATATAGGATGAACTACCTCCTACTGAAATGAAAGCAGCAGAAAGAAATTGTAGAATGTCGGATCTTGTTTTATGTTTGGGGACTAGGTAATTTTTATAATAAAAAAGTTTTTTTTTTTTTACTATAAAAAGAAATAAAAGGGTAATTTTGACATTTTGTTAATTGTCATGTTGGTTATTAAATTTACTTGCAGTTTGCAGATAACCCCTGCATGCAACCTCCCTCTAAAGTCCATTCGCAATGGAGGAAAGATGGTAATTGTCAACCTTCAGGTATTCACTCAAATGTCTAAAATACCCTTACATTATACTTTTACAAATTTATTTATTCATGGGTGTTAATTGTTAATGATTTTAAACCTTTTTAAAGCAAACTCCAAAAGACAATAGAGCAAGTTTGGTGATTCGTGGTTTTGTTGACAAGGTATTTTAGATATACATTAATTTAAATAACTTATTATTATTATCATTTTTTTTTTAACCTTAAATTTAATACCTTTTTTTTTTTTTTTTTTTTTAAATTAGGTGATGTCTGGTGTATTGCATCTTCTTAAAATGCAAATCCCTCCATATGTTCGTGTGGATCTTTTTCAAATTATCTTTAATCAATTTCGATGTACTTCAGGTATATTTTTTTCTTATTCTAATCAGATGAAATTTTTAAAAAAAGGAATTGTTTGCAAGATTTGTAATTTTATAAAAACTTAAATTACAGAGACAAAATATGCAAAATGGTCTCTTAGAGTTACTAGTATTCATGGAGAAAAAGCTCTGATTCCATTTATTGAATCAGTTGAGGTATGATTTGCTTCCATTTACACCATTATACTTTCAATTTTTTCTTTTTCTTTAAAAAATATAAACAAAATAAATAAAAGTATGTTGCTATTTCTTGCATTTAATCTATTCACAGGTTACTTTTCCAGAAAGACCAGAGCTAAAAACTGCTGTGTTACACCAACAACCCTTTTTCCTAAAAAGGTTTTGTTTTTTTATTGGTGGAATTTCTTTAAGTTTCAATTTTACAATTTGACCCCTGAGTTATGAAGATTGTTATCTTTTGGTCCCTGTGTAGGGAAACACTTAAATCAAGACCACTTCACATGGTTTTATCGATTAACTTCAGTGAAGGTTGTGGTTGTAAGTTTATCAGCATTGACTATCCCGTTGACTTTGAGGTAAAAAGCCTCACTTTTTAATTGTTATAATTTGATAGATTTCTAAAAATACAAAACCTTAACAACAAAAAGAAAAAGCTGATTGAAACCCTAATTTGAAATTTTCAGGCATCAACAGAAGACATTAATGAAGATAAGAACATTGTGATTCAGCAGCTTAGAGACATGGCAAATGAAGATCGATTTTGTGGACAATCATATGTGATTGAAAGAAAACTCATTTCAGATTCAGGGAAAACAATTTCTACATATGCTGTTGCAACAAACATTGCTCAATTTGATGAATTATCACCTTCAAAAACAGCTCATATCTCTAATGGAGAAAGAGAAAAGATGAATCTTGGAAGTGGTGTAGATGATATATCTACAGCTAATGTGCCTACAAAGAAGGTGAGAGTTCATTAATGGTGAATCTAGGTATATGTTGTGTGATAGTGGTCAAAGAAAGTCAATGGTTGGAAGTAAAGGGAAACCGAGTCAAGTTTGAAACTAGTAGAGTTGAGTTGACTCGGTTGTGACTTTTGTAAAAACTAAAACTGTTTTTGGTTTTGAGTGAGGGTTTAGTAACCTTTTGTTAGGTCATATATCAAAAAAGAAAAAAAAAAAAAAGATTCAAACACTTTTAATGGAAAGTTTGGTGTAACCTTTTGTGTAAACTCGATAGATTTGTAAATAATTAATATTTTTTTTTTCAGTATATCATTCTTAGTAGTTATCACAACCAAACCATTAAGTAACTTCTTATGAGGTTGTGGACCTGTAAATAGGACTTTTACAACTTCAATTTTTATTTCTATCAACATCTGCATTATCTACATTAATATCACCACTGTTTTGATTATAAGAAAAAACTCGAGTTTTTTTTTTATCAAGAGCCCCACATTAAGACTTTCTTAATTCTTCATTTTTTTTATATATTTTTCACTACCAAATTAATGTTTAGGATGCATAATTGTTGAAAATTATATATGATATAACACTAAAATCATAAACATTATTCTATTATTCTAATCAACTATGCAGATGGCACAAAGCATTAAAAGGTTTATAGAAACTAGCAATTAGAGAATTCGCTCGAAACAAAAATTATTTTGTAATGCACTAATGTGAAGTCCAAAATTGTGTGTTAGTGTGTTTCATTCGTTAATCAACGACAACAATAAGAATATAAAAACAAGAGACCATCAGATTTAGAAATCAAGAAGAGTGAGATATTTGTTTAATTTTAGTCGACAATAAAAATGAGAGCATGAGCGCAATCAGAAACAAGAGGAGGGGTTTGGTGGACTCAGAAAACCAAGAGAGAAAAATCCTCTTTTGATCTTTATTGTTTCTGTCAATTTGGAATCGGAGCAAAATATAAGCTCGTGCTGCAAATCTATATTAGCCCATTATTAGACAAAATGCAATTTTTTACTTTAAACCTAACTTTTTAAAATACGAGTTTCTGTAAATTTTAATTGTAACTTGAGCTATTAGAACCGGAAAAAATATGGGTTTTTGTCTTTTAAATTACCAGATTTTCTATTGTTGAAGCATTGATAGTGGAGTGAATCGTATAAAATTGGGCTCCCTCCACAACGTGGGCCATGTGCGGTTGCCCACCTCACACACCCTTAAAGACACCCATGTGTTCATACCACCTCATTTATTCTTCCTTTAATTTTTGATTTTTGTATCACTCCAACGAGTTTCTTATAGTTACCTTTGATATCCTATCGAGAAAGTTCAACAATGAGTCCACCTCAACATTCTCATTATTGCTACTTCCATCTTCCTCTCTCATGGTACTTCTTGGATATCCAACATATGGGTCCATACACATCATGGTGACATTTATATACGCGTAAAATCTTTACTAAAACATTTATTTTAAAATATTATTCATGCTATTATGCAATGTAATGCAATACATGATTAAGCATAATGCAATTTCATAAAACTTGTTTGCTACCGACTCATGCACCTCCAAGTTGATCGGTACCAAAAACAAAGTTACTTATATTATTTAAAATTAGAGTCAAACCCAAGAAATAGCAATTACTTCTGATCTTTCCTTATACAACATCCTACTTTCACCTTTTTTATTTACTTATATCATCATATTTCATTTCAATTCATTACAACACCATGGTTGTGTTGTGATAGAAAAAATTGAAACCTTAATTTTAAATTTTCAGGCATCAATAGACGACATAAACCAAGATAAGAACATTATGATTCAACAACTTAGAGACATGACCAATAAAGATCAATTTTGTGGGAAATCATCTGTAATTGAGAGAAAACTCATTTCAGATTCAGGAAAAACAATTTCTACATATGATGTTGCTACAAACATTGCTCAATATGGTGAATTGTCACCTTCAAAAACAACTCATATGTCTAATGGAGAAAAAGAAAAGGTGTATTTTGGAAGTGGTGTAGATATATCTCGAGCTAGTGTGCATACAAAGAAGGTGAGAGTTCATTAATGGTGTAGCTCTAGCTACTACCACTATATATATGTTGTGTGATAGTGGTCAAAGAAAGTCAATGGCTGGAAGTAAAAAGAAATTACGTCAAGTTTGAAGCTAGTAGAGTTGACTCAGTTGTGAGTTTTGTGCATGAAACTAGGGTGTAGAAAACTTTATTGAGTTACTAAATTGGAAAAATGATCTTTTTTGCTATATTATGTTCTTGTAGCTGTGTAAAAACTAAAAACTGGTGAGCCTTTACTATGTTTTTAGTTTTTGTGTACAAAAACTGAAACAAATTGTGTAACTGAATATTTTGAGACATGGAATCTATGCAAAGTGTTCTCTAAAAAGAAAAGTTTATAGTACCTGCGAATTTCGAACATCTCAAGGGCTATGCCTACAAACCAATTTGTTTACATCTTCAATCTAATAATTGAGAGGTTGTGGAATTTTTTTACAAGTGGACGAAGTAATATACATTTTGGTTGCAATTGGAAACAATAAACCGATAAAGGCATGTTAGGTTCAATATAATTTTTTTTTCTAATACTTCTACAGAAAATGTGGCTTAACCTTTGTGTAAACTTAGTAACTTAGTATAACATGTTTATACCCAATGACAAACTCATGACTACTAAGCAATTATAACACAACTACCATGGATGTTACTAAACAAATTAAATCTTTCTCTCTCTCTCTCTCATTAGCCTATTTTGTCTATGCCATGTTGATGGGACTACGAAAAATACATGTACATACGGAAAAGACAAAATTGCAAAATGGTTCATATGGTATGCATTTTTTTTAGGGTTTTAGTCCAAACCACGACTTTTTTGGATTGGTGGTCCTTTTGAGATAGTTTGCTTGTGATTACGGTTCTTTGATAAACTGAAAAGACTAAATTACCCTTATTATATATATTTTCCATTTTTTTTCCTATAAGTATTTATATTTAAAAAATAAAAGTAAGGGCCTACATACCTCTCTCTCTCTCTCTCTCTCTCTCTCTCTCTCTCTCTCTCTCTCTCTCTCTCTCTCTCTCTCTCGTTCATACCTCACAAGACCAACCTTCTTCTTCTTCTTCTTCTTCTTCTTCTTCTTCTTCTCTCTCTCTCTCTCTCTCTCTCTCTCTCTCTCTCTCTCTTGTTAATACCTCACCAAACCAACCTTCCCCTTCCTTCTTCTTCTTCACTTACAATCAAAAACCATCGTTGTTGGCCATCGGTGCAGCTCCCTCCGCCACTCCCCGTTGCCATGGTAAAAACCCACCATCACCGTGTTTATTTTGTCGAGTACAGGAGCCCCAAACATCCCCGACCCTTACTCCTACCTCCCTTCGTATCAATTTCTTACAGGTTAGTTTCTAAATGTTTCAATTTCTTGATTTTCATATAATAAAATAAATCTCAGATCTTGGTGTATGAATCTTGAAGGATTGTCTCCAGATACTGATTGATTGCAGAGTATGCTAACTCAACAACTGTAAATGAGGGGATAGAGGTATACAACTTTGGTTTAGTGCTATTAGAATTGGTAACCAGAAAAGAACCACAGGAAGGAGATGGGGATATGAATCTAGTGGAATGGACATGGAGGTATTTCAGCGAAGAGAACTCCATGGTTGAAGCTTTGGACCCAGAAATCAAGCAGGATATTAGTTTCATGGAAGAAATTACCTTAGTGTTCAAATAGGCTCATTTGCACAAGCTAATTCGGAAATTGATGCTACCCCCACAGCTGGTTTGAGTTCAATACACACACACTGAAAAATTAAAAGACACACTCACACTCGATTATGTTTTTTGGGTTTTGGATGAATCGGAGCAGTCTTTTATTTGGGAACGTGGTTTAATAATTTGGGCACCACAATTGGATGGGTAGAGAGTGCAGGTGAGGAATAAGAAGACAAAGAAGAATAGGTTGGGGAAGTGTGACAAAGAAGAATAGGTTGGGGAAGTGTATGCGAGAGAGAGAGAGAGAGAAAGAGAGAAATATGTGGGCCCCAAATTAGTTAATTATTTTATTTTTCATTTAAATTAAATAGAAAAGCATAAAAAATATCATAAAGGCAACATTTTAAATATGGGCAACATGACCACTTAGATTTAGACTATTAGATATGTCACTTAGATTTAGACTATTAGATATGGACAACATTTTAAATATGTCATCACATGTCATATCACCCATGGTGTTAAACATCAATTGACGAAATTGTGTTGAAATGTTATAACATGTTGAAGAAGAAGAAATAATGATCGGGTTGATTTTTCCCACTTAGGCATGTTGTCATGACTAGGGACGAGATTTAGAACCGGAACCGGAACCATTAAAACCGGAATATATAAAACTGGTTCCGGTTCTGAGTTTAAAAATTGGCTTTATCCGGGTTCCGGATAATCCGGGTTTGGGTCCATCGGGTTCGAGTAAACCGGGTCAAAAAACCGGAACGGTGTTTGGAACCGAAACCTCTTTTAAGGCCGGAACCAGTTTTTGTGAAACGTTTAAAGATGCATATCTCATTCGTTTCAACTCCGATTGACATGCGATTTTTTCAACATGTAGTTTAGAGTTTGTACATGATTTTAGACTATAAATTTGCCATTTTTAGTTTTTGTATTCATTGACTTACAGTCCCCTAAAGTCAAGATATCAAAGCTGGAAGTTTTTAGTTTTGTAGTTTTTTTGTATTCGATGAAAGTTTTAAAACATGCATATCTAATTCGTTTGAAGTCGGATTGATATGTGGTTTTTTTTCCAACTTGTAGTTTACAGTTTGTACATGAGTTGAGACTATAATTTTGTCATTTTTGGTTTAATATATAATGATTTACAGTCCTCCGAAGTCGAGATATCAAAACTGAAAATTTTTAACTTTTTAGTTATTTGCTTTTGTATTTTGTATTATGTAAAAATGTTAACACATACATATCCCATTCGTTTAAAGTCGGATTGACATGCGGTTTTTTCCAGAGTGTATTTTAAAGTTTGGATATGATTTTAGACTATAATTTTGTTAATTTTGGTTTCATATTCAATGGGATACAGTCCCAAAGTCGGGATATCAATATGAAAATTTTCAAAGTTCAACCCACCAAGTAGTAAGTAATTACCAAAAAATTTCAGTTTTTCCGGTTCTAAACTCACTTTATCTGGTTCCAACCTACCCACTTTGATGTTTCCAAGTTTTCCGGTTGTAGACTCACTTTACCATGTACCGTACCCGGAACTGGTCCTACATACCGGGCTGGTTTCCGGTTCTTCAAAATCTCATTAATTGGTTCCGGGTTTTTCGGATCCAGGTCCATCCGGTCGAATTTGGACCCACTTTCATCCCTAGTCATGACTAGGCCTGTCAAATCGGGCTGTCGTGTCGTGTTTTTGTCTGACACGACACGACACGACAAGGTTTTTTGTAACACGAACACGATACGACACGATCTCGTGTTTTTTTTCACTAACACGAAAACGAACCAATTAAAAAATGACAACACGACACGACACGACAAAGATAATATTACATAACTATTATTTTATTTAATTCATATTTAATCATATATAACACGATAAAAACGACAAACACGAAAACACGACAAATACATGCTCAATCGTGTCAATTTCGTGTGGATTTGCAAACACGAACACGACACGACACGACATCGTGTTTTTTAAACTTGACACGAACACGACACGAAAACGAATTCGAATTATGATTTCGTCCCGATTTCGTTTCGTATCGTGTATTTTTGTCGTGTCGTGTCATAAATTGACACCCCTAGTCATGACCATATCTTATAACATAACAGCTCTTAACATATGAAAACAGAAAGTGGGGAGTACCATAACTCCTACTGGTTTCGCCCATACCTACCACCCCTTTATGGGTTTCTCTTGTAAACAAAATATAAACCACGTGTTATGGAACAAAAAAGTAGAAAGGAGAAAGACACGTAAAACTAACTGTAAGACATTCAAGACGCAGGAGAACCATAACAATCAGCACGAATTCATGAATGCTGAATTACTGATAACTGATCATGGGGTTGTTCAATCAACAAATTCCCTCCACCCCCGTGTCAACAACCACATTTCTCTGTTAGTTTCCTGATCTTCTTTTACCATTTTCCTATTCTAAGTTTGATTGATTGCCATTAAATGAATCTTCCCTATTGCGGATCTTAATCATGAACTGAATGAATAAGAGCTCAGCAACTTGTGTTCGTTGTAATTCCCTTCTCTATTCTTTGAATCTCAACATTTTGAACTGTTTGATGAATTATCAAATCGCATTAGTAACTTGCTCTTTAGTATCGTATCAGTATATAGCTTCGATTTGAGTTTGAAATGAAAATTAGGGCTATCCTACCATGAAATCATTGTATTCAAGTTTCTCTGCTTCACTCACATTGCTATTTACGTATTCCTCCGTTGTTTCTTACTTCAGGTGTGTTTCATCTTAAATGGCGGCGATTCTGGACAATCTCAGCTTCTCAATCTCTTTTTCTCTTCAAAAACTTGATACTCATGAACGTAATTCCCCTAAAATTGAGAGGTTTCACAGGTTTCGTATTGAGATGCAGAAGAGAGAATCAAAATCCCCCATAAAAAGTGGCATCAATGGTAAACCTAACGGAAAGCCCCTAAACATGGATCGTATCCCAATAGCCATGGTTCCTATAACCGAAGCAATGAAAAAGATGACTGAATCTGAAAAACGAGCAGGGATACTTACCAGATTAACACAGATTGTTAATAGAGAGACCACTTCAGCCATTGAAGTTAAAAAACCTTCAATCGAAGGATCAAACATCTTGCCATCAGATGAAACCTTTAGCTGGGCAAATGAGAATTACAATCCAGTTCAAAGAACATTAGATCTATGTTCATTCGTTATTTCCCTCCATCTTCGTCTTCTACTCAACAACTCAAAATGGTCATACCCTAGAGGCTTCACAGAAATCAAACAGGTTTAACCTCACAAAACTCACCATTTAAACTTCAAAATCTCCTTTTATCAATCCAAACTTTGTACTCAGAAAACCAGAAGAAAAAAAACCGCATCATGGTTAAGAGAACGTGTGTTGCAACTTGGTCCAACTTTTATAAAGATTGGACAATTATCATCAACAAGATCCGATCTATTTCCACATGAAATCATACACGAACTTGCTAAGTTACAGGTATAAAACTATAAATAAAACTTCATCTCTTTTCATATCATATGATTCATATTCACATATTCATTTTTTTTTATGAAATGAAATCATACATTTCAGGACAAAGTTCCTGCCTTTTCATCAACAAAAGCAAAGTGTTTGATTGAGAGAGAATTAGGAGCTCCAGTTGATGAACTGTTCAAGGAGTTTGAAGATCAACCAATTGCAGCTGCTAGCTTAGGTCAGGTAAATTATGTTTCTATTACCTGTAAATTTAATATATGGAGTTTTGATGAAAGTTTTTTTTTTTTTTTTTTTTTTTTTTTTTTTTCTTAAGGTACATAGGGCTATACTGCATAATGGAGAGAGGGTAGTTGTGAAAGTTCAAAGACCTGGTCTCAAGAAGCTTTTTGAGATTGATTTAAGTGAGTATGCATCTTAAAGAAACTATTATGGTTTTGTGTTTTACATTTTACAATTTTGCCCTTTGTTCTTCCAGGAGTTTTGAAGCTAATTGCGGAGTTTTTTCATAGAAATGAAATTCTTTGTGGTCTGACAAAGGACTGGATGGGGATCTATGAAGAATGTGAAAAGTAAGCATCCACTTATGTCTTTTAGTTATATATAGAGAGTAAATTACACAAATGGTCCCTCTAGTTTGATGAAAATAGCAGGTTCAGTCCAATTTCGATTTTTCTTTCATGATGGACTTTGGTCCTTCTCACTGATACAGTTGGGAATGAGGCATTAAGTCTTAGCAAATTGACCATTTTACCCTCATTGATTTGGTTTTTGTTTTTTGTTTTAAGTATAAGTAATAAGAATAATAGTTAAGTGAAATATATATAACGGTTTAAAAAGACAAAAGGAAGCACAAGTATGATCCATGTAAGAAAAAGTAAAATTGGACTGAACCTGTTATTTTCATGAAACCATAGGGACCAGTTCTGTAATTTAATATTTATTTGCAGGATTCTATACCAGGAGGTTGATTATGTAAATGAAGCCAAAAATGCTGAAAGATTCCGTCGGGATTTTCGTAATATCAAGTGGGTCCGTGTGCCTGTATGTAAATATTGATATTATAGTAAAATGACTATTTTACCCTTTATTGGTTTAGTTTTTGTTTGATGTTGTATCTTCATTCATATCTCATGTAGCAAGTTTTCTGGGATTATACTGCAATGAAGGTGCTTACATTGGAGTATGTTCCAGGTTTCAATCAGAACTCCATATAATATTTTTAGAAACAATTGAATTTTTACATTTTTTTTAATTATTATTATTGTTATTAAAGATTCTATAAATAAAAATAATTTATAATTATAAAATAGTATTTCGATTCCGTCAACATCAAAGAATGGAAAAACAAAACACATCAAGCCCAAACACTATGACAAATAAACATGTTTTTTTTTTTTTTTTTTTTTTTTTTTTTTTTTAATTCTGTCATAATACTCAATTAAACACTTTCTTGTACATTTATAATTTCTTTTACAGGAATTAAGATTAATAATTTAGATGCGATAGATAAAA